CAGAGGTTGGCTCTGCCAGTCATTGTGGGACCTTGGGCAGATCACTCCTTTGGGTCTCTCCTTCCCCATCTGCAAAACAAGGGTGGGGCGGCTTAGATGATCTCTAAGAGTGTTTCTAGCTTTATGCCTTATCTTTCCAGGACTTCAGGTCCTTTAGTCAACTATTTGAAGGGCAGTTGAATGCTTGTAAAGGAGGGGAAAAGAGCTAGAGTGGTGATTTTTCTTTTAGAATATTTCATCACCCATTTCCCATCTCCAAGCCTTTGCCCAAGTTGCCCCCCATGCCTGGAATGCACTACCTCCTTAAATTTCCTTTTAGAATCCCTAGTTTTCTTCAAAGCTCAGCTCATAAACCATGTTCTACATGAAGCTTTTCCTGCCGGTACCTCCCCAAGGAACTAACAATTTAATGGGGGAGACAAGAAGCAAACAAATATGTACAAAAAAAGCTATAAGCAGGATAAACAGGAAATAATTGACAGATGGAAGGCACTAGAATTAGGAAGGGTGGGAAAGGCTTCCTGTAGAAATGGGCTTTTAGGTGGAACTTAAAGGAAGCTAGAGAAGCCAGTAAGAAGAGATGAGGAGGGGGAGCTTTCTAAGCATGGAGGACAATCAGAGAAGAATGTCTGGAGCCCAGAGATGGGAGGTCTTGTTTGTGGAACAGCCAGGAAGTCAGCTTCACTGGACCCAAGAGTATCTGTTAGACAGTAAGGAGTAAGAAGCCTGGAAAGGAAGGAACTAGGGAATGAAGGGCTTTGAAGGCCAAACAGAGCATTTTTATATTGGTTCCTGGAGACAATAGGGAGCTTCTGGAGTTTATTGAGTAGGGATGATGACATGGTCATCTGCACTTTAGAAAAATCACTTTCGTGGCTGAATGGAGGATGAATTGGAATGGGATACTTCAAGGATTCAATTAAAAGTATTTATTAGGTGCCTACTGTATGCTAGGTACTGTGCTAAGGACCTGGAGATAGAAAGAAAAAAAAATCCCCTTCACTCCCCTCCCCCTCAAGGACATTACATTTTATAAATGAAGCCAATGGAGACAATATTTACACAGATAAAGGAATCCCAGATGCCCCAAACATACTAAGCTTCCTGGGGGGTAGTAGGGACCAGGAGAAACCTCTTATAGGAGGTGGCCCTTGAACAAGTCACCTTTGTCCATGTCCTTCCTAAAACTTCCTGCCAATTAGGACAGACGGGAAAGTTTGGATTTTGAGATCTTCCTCCAGCAGTGTCTGGTGAAGCCCGTGGATGCCTCTGAATGGTGTTTTTAAAAGCACAAAACAGGGGGCAGAGCCAAGATGGTGGAGGGAAAGCAGTGACTTGCTTGAGCTCTCCCCCCAAACCCCTCCACATACCTATAAAAAATGACTCTAAACAAATTCTAAAGCAGCAGAACCCACAAAAAGACAGAGTGAAACAAATTTCCAGCCAAAGACAGCCTGGATGTTTGATCAGAAAGGTATATTGCACCGGGTGGGGAGAGAAGTGCAGTTTGGCATGGGTGCGCATACTGCCGCGACCCTGGAGCAGGCCTCAGAGGACTGAACTGCGGGCAGCTGTGGTGGTTTCCAGACTTCTCAACCCACAAACGTCAAAGACAACTTAGAAGATCAGTGGGAAAAGTCTGTGACTGTGGTGAGAGAAGGAGCTAGGTCTCAGTCACCCCCGGAGGCCTCGGCTACCTCCTGAGCTTCTGGCCCACAGACTGAGGGGGAATCAAGTGGCTGATCAGAGGGGGATTGCAGGGATCCCTTTGCCAGTGCTGAGGCAGGAATCTCTTGCTTTACCAGTGCTTGGATCTGGGTCATAGTTCTGAGGGGCAGTCCTGGGATGAGAAGGAGTGCTGGCATGGTGGAGCTTGTTGTGGCGGTGGAGAGGAAACACCTTGCCCCTTATCATAGCACCTTGGAAGAACTGAAAATTTTCAGGTCCCTAGGAGTATCTCTGAAAACAGCTGTACAAACCCCCGAAGCTTGGGACAGTACATTCTCCACACTGGGAGCAGACTTTTACCTTAACAAAGAGTTTAAAACTCAAGTAATTGGCCAGGATCATGAGTAAGCAGCACAAAAAGAGTCAGACTATATTATCTCATTTTGGTGACAAAGAAGATCAAAACATACAACCAGAAGAAGACAACAAAGTCAAAGCTCCTACATCCAAAGATTCCAAGAAGAATATGAATCAGTCCCAGGCCTTGGAAGAGCTCAAAAGGGATTTTGAGAAGCAAGTAAGAGAAGTAGAGGAAAAACTGAGAGTTTTGCAAGAAAATAATGAAAAACAAGTCAACAGCTAGTGCTAAAGGAGACCCAAAAAAATACTGAAGAAAATAACACCTTAAAAAATAGCCTAACCCAAAAGCCAATGAGGAGAAGAATGCTCTAAAAAGCAAAATCGGCCAAATGGAAAAGGAAGTCCAAAAGTTTACTGAAGAAAATACTTTCTTAAAAATTAGAACAGAGCAATTGGAAGCTAGTGACTTTACGAGAAATCAAGACACTGTAAAACAAATCCAAAAGAATGAAAAATTAGAAAACAATGTGAAATATCTCATTGGAAAAACAGCTGACCTGGAAAATAGATCCAAGAGAGAGAATTTAAAAATTATTGGACCATCTGAAAGCCATAATCAAAAAAAGAGCCTAGACATCATCTTTCAAAAAATTATCCAGGAAAACTGTCCTGATATTTTAGAACCAGAGGGCAATATAAAAATTGAAAGAATCCACCGCTCACCACCTGAAAGAGATCCCCAAAGGAAAACTCCTAGGAGTATTATAGCCAAATACCAGAATTCCCAGGTCAAGGAGAAAATATTACAAGCAGCCAGAAAGAAACAATTCAAGTATGGTGGAAACACAATCAGGGTAACACAAGACTTAGCTGCTTCTACATTAAGGGACCGCAGGGCATGGAATATAATATTCCAGAGGGCAAAGGAGATAGGATTACAACCAAGAATCACCTACCCAGCAAAACTGAATATAATCCTGCAGGGGGAAAAATGGTCATTCAGTGAAACAGAAGACTTTCAAGCATTCTTGATGAAAAGACCAGAGCTGAATAGAAAATTTGATTTTCAAATACAAGACTCAAGTGGAACATGAAGAGGTAAACAGGAAAGAGAAAATCATAAGAGACTTATTATGGTTGAACTATTTACATTCCTGCATGGAAAGATGATATTTGTAACTCATGAGACCTTTGTCACTATTAGGGTAGTCGGAGGGGAAAAAATTATATGTACTTATATATAGATATAGATAGATAGACAGACAGATAGATAGATAGATAGATAGATAGATAGATAGATAGATAGATAGATAGATAGATAGAGGGCACAGGATGAGTTGAAAATGAAGGGGTCATATGTGGAGAATAAAATTAAGGGGTGAGAGAGGATTATACTAGGAGAAGGAGAAACGGAGAGGTAGAAAGGGGTTAATTATCTCACAAAAAAAAAAGAAAAGAAAAGGCTCTTACAATGGAGGGGAAATGGGGGAAGGTGAGAGGGAATGAGTGAATCTTATTCTCATGGAATTTGACTTAAGGAGGAAATAACATACACACTCAACTGGGTATGGAAATCTGTCTTACCCGACAGGAAAATGGGGGGGGGGAAGGGGACAAGAGAATAGGGGAATGATAGAGAGGAGGGCAGATTGGGAAAGGGGGTAATCAGAAGCAAGTGCTTCTGAGGAGGGTCAGGGTCAAAAGAAAGAATAGAATAAATGGGGGGGCAGAATAGGATTAAGGGAAATAGAGTTAGTTTTTCACAGCATGTCTACTATGAAAGTGTTTTGCATAGCTGCACAAGTATAGCCTATATTGAGTTGCTTGCCTTTTCAATGAGGGTGGGTGGGGAGGAAGGAAGGGAGAAAATTTCCAACCCAAAGTTTTAAAAATACCATTAAAAAATGTTTTCACTTTTAACTGGGAAATAAGAAATACAGTAAATGGGGTACAGAAATCCATCCTGCCCTACAGGAAAATGGAAGGGGAAGGGGATAAGAGAAGGGGGGGAGATAGAAGGGAAGGCAGACTAGGGGAAGGGGTATTCAGAATGCATGCGATCTTGGGGGGCAAGGGGTGAGATGGGGTGAAAATTTGAACTCAAAATCTTGTGGAAGTAAATGTTGAAAACAAAAAAAAATAAATAAAAATTACCATAACAAAAACACAAAACACACTTCACAGGACCACAAAAGAAACAAAGTACTTTGAATTAGTTATTTCGAAATAATTACAATATTTCAAACCAAAGTTCGGGGTCCTTGCGGGCAGGCACTCTGGCCTCGATTAGCACGGTGCCTGACTTGTAGCCACATAACACATGCTCGATGACTGCCGTGACTGGCCCAAAGTTACAGCAAAGGTGGAGAGTACGCTTCCCGAGGTCCGCTGCACGGCAGAGTAGGCGCTTAATAATTGCCTGTTTGTTGCCTACAGCCGGATGCAAACCCAGGCCTTCGGCCTCCCACTCCGGCCGCTTCCCACTCCATCGTGCTGCGCCTCTCAGAGCTACCCTTCCAGCTGGAGTCCGAGGCTCCTGATTTAGTGGCACAGTCAGCCTGGACTCAAGGACAGAAGGTCCCTGGTAAGCCCTTCCCTCCTTCTGCAGGCTGGTTCCCCGGCGCGCACGCGCGCACGGCCCCAGCGGAGCCCAGACTCAAACGTGCAGAGCCACGTGCAGACCGAGGCGGGAGGGGGGAGAAGGGGACTCGGAGCTCGCGGGGCCCTGGGGGTGGGGACGCCGCGGAGGAGCTGGGTGCGCGAGGCCCAGTGGAGAGGGGGGCGAGGCGGATCGAGGCGAAAGACGTAGTGGGGGGGCGGGGAATACAGGGAGGAGAGGAGGCGGAGCCTGCGAGAGACCCCCGCCTCGCTATTGGCTGAGCCCCCTCCATGTGGAGGCCAACGTGACCGTCCCGGGCTGCGGCGGCGGTGATCCGGCTGAGAAGTTGTCCGCCTCCCCTGCCCGCGGGGTCCGTGGGCAGGGCGCACCTGGCAGCCCCACCCCCCCTTCCTCCGTCCCTCCTGGTGAGAAGCCGTCAGGCGGAGGGAGCCCAGCATCCTGGACCCTCACAGCTGGAGGGGCCTCAGAGGCCACCTAGCCCAGCCCCTGGTTTTACAGAGGGGGAAACTGAGGCCCACTGAGCCAAAGTGACTCGCGCAAGGTCACACAGATCATAGGTGGGTCCTCGGCGCACAGCCGGAAGGGACCTCCGAGTCTTTCGAGTCTCACCTTCTTCATCACAGATGAGGAAACTGAGGCCCAGGTCACAGTGGCCGAGCCAGCCGGTATTGCAGCCTGCGCGTCCGTCGGGTGCAAATGCAAAGAGGGCCCGGGGAGCTGCCGGGGAGGGCATCCTCATCCCGGGAGGGGACGTCGACCTTGCACCTCCCCACGGGCCCTGCCTCGGAAACCGTGTCATTAATTCATTCAGAGCACTTGTCTGCCCGGGCTTTGGAGAGGAGGTCCCGAGTTAGAGGCCGAGGAAGCCAAATTGTGCCTCACTGACTCTCCCCCACTCTTTTCTTCCAGGTTTTCTGCTAAAACCAAAGAATGAAGGCACGATTGGGGCTGTTCAAAGTGCACGGTCTATTCCTTAGTCTCATCGATCGCTAGAATTCTCCTTAAATAAGCGCAGGACAAGGGAGAAGATTGACTTCACTGAAGGGGACGCCTAATTTAGACATCTTAGGTAATAATCCTACCCCCCTGTGCCTGGCCTTCCCTCCGGACCCCCAAGGGTTACCCCTGCGGAGTTTAGAGAGTACTTTCCATAGGAATCTAATTTGACCTCGATCTCACCTTTTTCCTACCAGTAACTACTTTTAAGATCCTGTTGCTACAGGAGTTCAGGGAAAAAAAAAATCCATTTGTAATATTAGTTAGAAGTTCCTGACCACACCCTGACTCCCACAGTGTTGTATAAATCAGATTACTGTTCTGTCTGGGGAAAAAAACCTGCCACTAAAACTGGGAAGGAGGGAAGGGGTGGGGGGAACACCAGCTGGGTTCTTTTTAGGAGTGCAAGTGATAGTTCCGTTTATGATCTGTTTATTAAACATTTATATTGCTAGGATGTGATTGGCTTTTGTAATGATAACTACTGTTTTACAGTATCTATGCTGTCTTGCATCCATAATGTGTCCACATAAATAATTAAATTCTGACCCCTAGGACAAAGTGGCAGATATTCCTATTGAAGAATGATGGGATTAAAGCAAAATCATTGTGCATTGTTTTTTAATTTGTTGTTATTTTAAAATTCTTAAAATTTGTCAAGATGAGGAATACCTTTGTAGGGACACCTTTTAAATTGAAGAACAGATGTATATTATTATATATTGCATATATATGCATGTAATATTTAGACTTAATATAACATTAAAATTCCAGTTTCTTGAATAAGGATCTAACAAAGTAGCGAGGGTCAGGATAGCATTAGGCACACTATTTCAAATCCATCTACTATATATCAGTCATCTGTTATGTGTCCTAACTTTTTTTTTTCTTGAGGAGTTAAGCCTTACATCATTTGTTCTGATGCAAATTTTGGGTCCCCCTGAATGTTTAAATCCACTAGTTCCTTTTTAAATTCTACTTTATTTTATTTTTTTCTCCATTACCTGTAAACAAAAACATTTTAACATTCATTTTTTAAAATGTTGCGTAAATATGCAAAAAAGACCTAGGGCTTTTAGTGGATTGCAAACACAGAGCGAGTTCGAGTTCGCAGTATATCATGGCAGCTCAAAAACCTCATGTGATCTTAGGCTGCCCTGGAGCCTTCACTAGCCATTTTTGTGCCTAAGGCAGATCTCTGGACACCTTGAGGCCACTCCTGGAGAAAGTTGGCCAGGGCCAACAGGACCTCACCTGGGCTATTGCCAAGAGGGTGAGGAAGCAAGTTATTTTCCTATTTTAATTCTTTTTCCCAGCGAGGTGCCAGGTTGTTTCAATTGTTAATAACCACTGAAAGACAAGTATTGTTAGTGCCTTCTAAATTATAGTGTGTTGGGGAGAGCTCTGGATGTCTCACCCCAGATATGGCTCCGCCATTAGGAGCTGTTTAGGAACTGCTAGCCTTCCATTCTGACATGGTCAGATCTCATCAGGAATATTGTATCCAGTTCTCTGTACCACATTTTAGAAAGAGAATTGACAAGCTGGAGCACTTTGAGAGAAAGGCAATCATAGTGGTAGGGGACTTGACACCAAACCAAAGATGGAGTAATGTTTTCAAAATATAGGGGTTGTCATGTGGAAGACAGATCAGACTTCATCTTGCCTGAAGGGCAGAACTAGGACTCGTTAATTATAAGAGTTGTTACAGGTAAAGGTTACGTGGAGGCAGACTTTGACAGCATTAAAAAAAAACACTATTAGGGTCATGGATTTAGAGTTGGAAAAAACCTTTGAGGCGATTGATTCTAACTCTTTCATTTTACAGAGGAAGAAACCGAGTCTGAGCAGTTAAATGACTTGTCCAGAGTCACACAGCTAGTAGTTGTATACAAAAGTGGAATGGATTACTGGGGTGGGAGGGTGGTATTGTGTTTCCTGTTATTGGAGGTTACAGGTTGGAAACGGTTGTTTTTGGAGATACTGTAGATGACAAAGCATTGGACCAGATGCCTTCTGAAGTCTCTTTCCATTCTGTGATCCAGTAACAACCCCTCCTCACCCCCAATATGACAACTTATTTTGAAATATAAACATTGGAGACAGAATGTGGAAAAGGTTATGATCATAACAAACACTGGGCTTTTTGCCTGAATTTTACCTTGATGAGGCAATCAAATATGTAGGTGCCTGGCATTGTGCTGGCCTTGGGGATTCAAATACAAAGAAACGGTCTCCACTCATAAAGACTCATTTCTAACCTATTAACCCTAATTCCTGAGAGATCACCCCTTTATTTTCATTCCTTTGATTCTAAAATACTCACTTTGTATTTGTATTTTTTACATGCTACTTTCTAAGTGTATTTTAATTAAGGTCACATGTGTGTGATACATATCAGCAAAAATAAATTCTGTGTATATATGTAGCCTATATCAGATTGTGTGCCGTCTTGGGGAAGGTAGTGGGAAGGAAGGGGGAGAAAAATTTTAAACTCAAAAGCATATGGAAGTGATTTTGTTGATAAATCAAAATAAATTAATTAAAAAAATAAATTCTGAAGAGACAAATGACTTCTTTTTCTTTATGCTTTTCCTGCATTGCATGAACAGTACAGGATAGAGTGGACACCAATATTTTGAACTGACATCACAGTCTTGTGATTAAAGGACTGAGAGTCAGGAGATCTGGGTCCTAGCCCCTACTCCCAACTCTGACTCAGTTAATAGAAAGGGGATATTATTATTCGAACCTAGCTAGATATCGAGGGGTGATGTGAGGAGAGGTGAAATATGTTAAAATATTGATTTTCTTTTGGAGAAAGGTGTTACTGTATTGTAATTTTATACTAATTCAGTATCTAAATTAGTCTTAAAAGGTTGCCTAATATATAAATGTGTCAGTAATGATAGAATTTTTGAGTAGGTAGGGTCTAGAGATCATCTTTGCCAGGATCCACATTTTTTGGAGAAGGAAACGCCCCAGAGAATTTGTGACTTGCTTAGGGTGGCACAGCTAGTTAGTGGAAAAGCTGAAACTAGAACCTTGATCTCTTGACTTGGGTATTCCAACATGGGACTCTTAGCAAGTCTGGTGCTTAAATACTCCTTGAGAGTTGTTCAGACACTGGGAGAATCTGCTTATTTATTTGAAGTACACACCTAAACTCTTAAAGTTCTCACAGTGAAGTTTAGTTATTTCTCTCATGGTAACAGGAATAGATCTGGGAAGTATGAACTCTCTTTGGGTGCCTTTTACATTCGATCTGAGACCATTATTAGACAGTGGTTTATTGTGCTAATTCCCCTTGTCAGTAGGAATTGGAAAAAGTTTTAAAAACTATGGTTATCTAATAAGGCTTCACATTAGTGTTAGGTATTCTAAAGAACTTTAGTATAATAAATGACTGGGGGTGGGGGAGACTTCGTTGAATGCTACTCTAGCCTACATGGATGTTTTTCATCTTTGCTATAAAAATTAGCAGAGGCATAATGATGTAGGGAAGGAGCTCTGGAATTGAACTCAGGTGAACATTTACTAGATGTGTGACCATTGGTAAAACACTTAATTTTTCTGAGCCTCAGTTTCCTCATCTGTAAAATGGGAGTGATATTTGTAGAACACTATACAGGGTGGTTGCAATGATCAAGTGAGATAGTGTATGTAAAGCCCTTTATTAGCCTTAAAGCACTGTGTCAATGTTAGCTATTATTTTTGTACAAAATTAAGGGCTTGTTTACATGCTCTATTGTGTTTTAACAAGTCATAAAGATGTCTCCCTAATAGGAATGATAAAGAAGGGGAGGTAATGGAAAGAACCTTGGACTGAAAGCCCTACTTTCTAGGCTCTTGAGCAAGTCCCCTCTCTGAGTTCAGTTTCTTCATTGACAAAATGGGGATAATAATACTTGTCCTGCCTACCACATAATGCTCTTTGGAGGATCAGATGAAACTGCATGCAAAAGTGCCCCTTTTAGTACAATCATTATTAGGAGTCACCTTTAAAATAGTAATAATAAAAACCTTCCTTATATAGGCATGTTAGAACAATCAAATTTTCTTAAAATGGAATTAAAGAATTTGGTAATTCCAGGAGTAGCAGTTGGGTCAAAAATGCAGATTCTATTTTTGGATAGATTTGTAATTAATACTAATGTGGAATAGTAGAAGAACTGTTGAATTTGGAGTCAGAGGATCTAGTTTTAGTCTTAATCCTGAAGTCTTAAAATCCTAGTTTTAGTCTTAAATCATTTGTAGGACCTGGGCAAGTCACTTACCCTTTGTGGCTCAGTTTACTCATCTATAAAATGAAGAGGGTGAACTGGATGACTTATGGGGTCCCTTCCTTCTCTAAATCTGTGATCCTATGACCCAATGTGTATTTGGAATCTGTTTTCTATTCTCTGGCACAGGAGGCTGAGTGTGGGATGCAAACCAGATCTATACATTGTTAATAAAGTTCTGGCAGAATTAGGAAATTATTTTTATATTTTAGACTAAAAGAAAGCTCTGGAGGAAGAAGAGTGTTTTGCTAACTTCTCTCCCCACCTTAAAACTTTCTGTATTGTACAGCTCAAGTTTATGGGATAATTATTCCACTTTGTATCCCCAGCTCTAGAATCAAGGCAGGGTGTTCACACTTTGGGCAAGATTTGAAAACTGCACCTGTGCTCTGCACCTCCCTGTTATTGTCCACTGTAAAATGTTTGACTTTGTACATAGTACCTATCTATGTGTCATGGGCCATGGCAAGCAGGATTTCTAAGCATTAAAAATGAGAATTTAAAAACATTAAAGCTAAAAATGATTTTTCTTGACATACCATTACGAGTTGCACTCTGGGCAGTTGCCTACCTTGCCTATCCTAAGTCCTATCTCTAGTTAATTTACTGGACTACTAGTTAGAAAAATGTTGACTAAATTTTAAAGAACTGTATGGGTTGTTTAAAATAAAAATCTGAATAGAAAATTTAAAGTGGTTTAAACACAAGTAAACATTTTGCAGTGTTTCTGTATTGTAAGTGTCTCACGTAAGTAACAAAGACCTGAAAGGAAAAAAAGGACATTAGAAGA